TTTTTCACTGCATGCAAATTATTTCCCCTGATGCACTCAACCACCGTCCCTCAAGGGACGGTGACTCAACAAAGTCAAAGTTGACGTACAACATGTTGCAGAACGCGTGAAAAGTACTTCGCGTTCCACTCGCTTTGAAGCTGCCGCCTATGCTAATGAGCATAGTCGTCAGGACGAAGCATTACAACTCCAAGATGGCGATAACGTTACACCGTAAATAGGCAGTCAAAACCAACGTGCACGTTACACTATTTAATTTTTCTAGCCAGCGGTGTGATGTGTCTAATCACCGCAAACCATGTGTCATTTGTTTGGTCCCACAATTTGTCTTCCATGTGCTTGCCGATCACCGAACAGTGCGGCATGTCGCCGGTACATTGTGTTTACACTATTTTTTTACCGTACCATTTGTTAAGTCATGCAGTGAACATCGACCATTGGGATTCGCGCTGTTCGACCCACCAACCAATAGGAATCGTGCTCTTCGCAGATGACACTGCGATCCTGTCGCAGAGTGCAATAATCGACATTCGGAGAGTCGCACAATCGCGTCGCAGAGTTAGTTTTTAGACCCCAATACATACATGTTATAAGACCTTGATAAAACTCTAAAATGTTAGTCATGTATATTCTGAACTGTCGGCAATTGAAAATCGGCTTCATGGGATGTTGACCACAGCTGTGGCGTTTACAATCTTAAACGGGATAACGAGTTACACTTGTTTAATTATACCGATTCATTAGGATTACTAAATACCAGATCATTTTATCGTCTCTGAAAGATATTGTGAGTTATGAGTTAATAAAATCGTATTACTGCCACGACGAAAACGTTAAATTGAAGGATTCGGCAATCAGTTGCTCTGCACAGTGAACTGAGGCTGATAAAAAAAAAATACGAAAGGTCTGTTGGACGCTTTGCCATTTGCTCGTGGATAATACACCATTGAACGCCATACTCCTCTCACTGAAGGACTACAGATTAACGATATCGTTTTGAACGACCGCCTTGTTGCCTAGTTACGACTTAGGAACGCTTCGTCATTAGGGGCGCAACTTAATAGGAAAGGTGTATTCATTACAATTGTAGAAATAATTTTGTTAGAATACATATTGTGGATTCGAATCCACTCATGGCCAACTGTTTAAATGGTTCAGAAATAGCTATATCCTCTTAACCAAGGGTTCCATCGACCGATTCGCATGGTTTCGCTGAAGCCGACCGTTCATGGCCGCTTGGGACCGTCCCTACGAACCCGTGCGTGGTCGATCGTGTTAGAAAAAGTTGTATTCGAGCCATCAATTAACATTCCTGTAACAACTCGCATCAAATTAAAATTTCAATCAGTGGATATTGTTGTCTTATATCACGCCTTAGCTTAACAAAAACATTTGGAAAGACTTCACAACGCATGCAATA